CCTGGGTGAGAAGGGCAGGGTGACAGATGCTTCCTATTGGGCTGTTACCATGCACTTCCATCTGCCTCCTAGGCCACACAGCCCAGCTCCTACCTGCTGCTCCAGCTTGCGCTCCTTCTCCTGTCTCTGTGACAGGCTCTGCCGTTCCTGTTCCGCTGTGGTCAGCAGCTCCCCCAGGTCCTGGGCCTTCTGCTCTGACAGAGCCAGAGCAGCCTCTGTCATCTGCAGCCTACAAAGAGGAAGACCAGCCCCAGGCCAGCTCCAGCAAGAATGTCACCTGCTTGGCAAAGGTCTTCTACTCAAACCCCAGGACGCATCTGTCCCCTCCTCTGCCTTGTGGGCACGGCTGTAAGTCTCTAAGGTGTGTGAAGGCTGCTCTCCTCTGCCTTACTTGGCTTTGAGGGCATTGATGATGGACTGTCTCTCGTTGAGGGCTTCCTGAAGCTGCCCAACTCGTACTGCTGATGCCCTGTGGAGAGAGAGGTGGTTCTGGGAAATCCAAACCCCACAGCCCCTGGCTTCTCCCAGTCTGGCAGCGGCTGTTGAACTCTGCACATTCATGTCTATAACGTGCCCAGTGCACCGGGCACAGAGCTAAGCAGTCCACATCTGCCACTAACTGCCAGCCCACTTGCTTGGAAGCAATGACCTTGTTTTCAGCCTTGTAGCAGACAGGGCTCAGGTTAGGTCATACTCAGATCAGAAGGGCTCACTCACCTGCTGTTTCTGGCCATCTCTTCTCGTTGCTTATCAATCGTCTCCATCAAATCCAGAAACTGGAGACAAAGTCAGTCAAAACACCGTTAGAAGCAGAGCCTACCCTGGAAGGACATCTTAACCCCACTGTCTCTTTCAAAAGGAGGTGGGCTGACAGGGGGAGGCCTGGCGGCTAGGACTCCGTTTGCTCTCAGCTCTGAGGTGAAGTCGGCATACAGGAAGTGGGACCAGGAGGCCACCTTAGCCCTGGTTTAGAGGCCTGGAGGGAAGGAGGATGGAAAGGACAAGGAAGGAGGCAGATGCCCAGGCTGAGCTGGGAGCAGCCCACGGCTAGTGAGGGCACTATGCTCACCTGCTTGGACTTCTCTTCCTGGAGGTGCTGAACCTCCTTGTTAAGGATGTTGGTGCGGGCTTGGTTCTCCCGAAAGGCAGTGAGCCGGTCCTGGTTGTGGTCCATGGCTTGTTCTGTCGGAAAGAGCCATGTTATCCTGGGCTCAACGTTAGGGCAATGGCTAACCCAGTCCTGTGCTGCCTGTGTCTGGGGTTGGTCATCTGAGAGCCCACCCTACGCAAGGCAATATCTCCACAACAAATAAGACATCCCCATCCAGTGCACCCGGGTGAAGCATTTCAGTGGAGGACAGGACTGGGTGATATAGGACCTTGAGACAGGAGGTCTCTTGTACATATAGGGAAGCTGCTGTACTACCCCCAAAGGTGGGTGCTTCCTGGAGTATCTGGCTTCCCCAACAAAGGTCAAGGGGTATATGACTTTAAGAGATGGGTGCTATCTTCTCAAAAGACTGACAGCATATAAGCCAGATGTGGTACTGCATTTCAGTGATCCCTGAACTTGGGCACCTGAGGCAGGGGGATTATGAGGTCAAAGCCAGCCTGGGCTACATAGCAAGACTGTCTTTCACACACACAAAGATCAAACATAAAGCAATTATAAGGCCTATGCCCACACAGATACAGGGCCGGGAACAAGAAGGCACCGGGGATGGCAGAAGAGTCAGGTACAGCCAGCAGGTGATGATGCTGTGGCAGGGAATGTGGCAAAGTCGGGGTCCAGGACTCCAGTGCGGACAGTTCAGACTTTGGTGGGTGATACCATGTGAAAACTACTGAGCCTGAGGCTAAGGTATCATCTGTAAGGACTCAGGGTTCATAGGCAGATGAGGGTGAGTTCTGACATAAGTCAGCACAAGCCTGGCACCCCCACTCAATTCACTGTGCACACAGCACAGACACAGACTCAGGTAGCTGGGGGAAGATGCCAGGAAGCCTCCCTAGCTGAGGTGCAGGCCATCGATGGCTCTCAGAGCAAAGGCTTCAAGCCACAGGCTTCAGCTTCTTGCCTGTGAAACCAGCACCCCCTGACTACACAGGTGCTGAGACGTGTGAGCATCTGAGAGAAGCCTGGTGTAAGCTGCTTCCCCCTTGACTGAGGCTAGCTACTCATATCCGGAGCCCCCATGTCTTGAGCCCTGAGCCACACCCTTCTATGGTGGATGGGCTTCTGTTAAAGGGCTTCATGCCTTACTCCAACTTCTAAGAAGGTAGCAGCCCTGAGCGTCCATACCCACAGCTCTCAGGACATCGCCAGGGATGTTGTTCCCAGCCAAGTCCAGCCTCCACAGGGTTCTGTTGCTGGGGAGACAGTTCACCAGGGCCCGGCCCCCCAGGAGGCCAATGTTATTCCAGCGCAGATCTGGAAGGAAACCTATTGTCACTGGGTTGCATGGGAGGTACTGGCCCAGCCCAGGATGCTTCTTTTGATGCTTTACTGCCTGTGGCTGTCAATATAGCCAGGAGCCCAGGCCAACCTCTCCAGCAGCAGAGGGAAAGGGTGCAATTTAATACAGCCCAATGTACCCAGGTCTCATGGGGGCACAGCAGAATTCAGGAGACCTCACCCAGCTGCTGGAGGGTGGTGTTGCCCTTGAGGGCCAGGGCCAGTTCCTCTGCTCCCTTGTGACTGATCTGGTTGTTTCGGAGATCCAGCTGCCGCAGGGTGCTATTGGCTGCTACACCCCCACAGAAGGTGGCAAAGGTGTCTTCCCACATGCCAAGGTTGTTCCACTCCAGCGTGAGACTACAGGAAGAATGGACACAGGTTCTTGGCTCAACAGAACACTTGGGTCCAGGGCTCTCCACCAGTGGGTGAGGAACAGGGAGAAGTGGTGGAAAGTGAGCTGGTTGCAGGATTGTATCCTCTGGGCCAACCCTAAGCCGCAGAGAGGAACAGGTGAGGCCTGGATGTAGTCCTACCTCTGAATGGACTTGTTCTGTCGAAGGAGCTTTCCCAGAGCCTCGGCTCCTGTAGCTCGGAGGTTGTTGCCCTAGAAAAGGAACACCCTGGCCAGTCATTCTTGTTACCTTGGCTCCAAATACTACATCTCTGCCTCACAGAATCAGGCAGTAAAAAAGGCTAGGAGACAGCCTGGGCGAAGGCATGGCTGCCAGATCCTAGTTTTCCTGACAGTAGCAGTACCACAGTGCTCAGTCCCTTGGAGTTTATATGAACACTGTTGAGTCGGGCATGTAGAGCATGCTCAAAACCACACTCCCAATACCCATGGGATCCTCAGAGAGCAGTCCTAAGACGCTGGGTATTGGGAACTCTTACAGTCTCTAGCCACTATCAAGACCCCAGGTCCCCGGGTCTGTCTCTTTCCACTGCCGAGGGTAGAGGCCTGCTCACCTTTAGATCCAGACGCTGCACAGTGGTGTTGGCACACAGCCCTCGGAACAGCAGTGTGGACCCTGTGTAAAGGTAGTTGGAGAAGAGGGACGCCTGTCCTACTGGTGCCATTGTTTTGGCTTCACTCAAGGAATGAGTTTCCCCATTGCTGTAAGGTCGTGTTAGAAACATGTGAGTCTGCCTAATCTTTCTTGAGTCAGTCAGCATGGGGAACTGTGAAAGCCAGGGACATTAAGGCTTCTCTATTACCGTGACATTGACCTCTACTCCCAGGTTTTGGAACGCACTGACTTCCCTGCTTACAGCTACCCAGGCCAAACATAATCTGGACACCCGCCCTTAGGCCAGCCAGGAGGCAGAGGGCTTGAACCCCACTCAGAAGTTTCAGGCGCTGTTCCGAGGCCAGCGGCCTCACCTTCCTCACTCAGCATGCAGTCGCTGAGGACAAGCTCCTTCAACATCGTCTCATCATGCAGCAGCTTGCCAAGGGCCCTGCAGGTGTCCACCGTCAGGCTCTGAGTAGCCAGGTCCAGTCGGCCCCGCGGAAGTTGGTGCAGCTGCTGCAGGACAGCCTCCTGGGGCTCAGCCCCACTCTCCTTGCACAGGCGGCTGTAGGAGCGCCGGAACTCCTCCATGTCTCCGAATGCTGACAGGGCCTTGCAAGCATGCCCCTAAAAACAGGCTGCATGTAAGCTTGCTAGGCCGATGGCTGGGAGCCCCTTTTCCTAGAGAGTGTACACGGGGGCGTTGAGCTGAGCTGGCCCTATAAGGGGAGGCCTAGAAATTGGAAATGGAAAGGAGGTCAGAACCGCTCGAGGAAGGGGTTTGGTGATAGGGACAGCTGGAGCGCAGAGCACTGGCCTAGGAGAGCAGGTAGGCGCGTTGCACATACCCTGGTCTGGCCCTACGGCCCCTAGCCCGCCCTCGCGACGTGGCCTCGGGTCGCTGATGCTCTGCTCTGGACGCCGTGCCGCGCGCCTCAGTATCCAGGAAGAGCGTGGAGCTCCGGGATGGAAGATAGGAACTACAACTCCCATGAGGCATTGCGGAAGAGGTGCTATTGGTAGACCAATGAGAGCGAAGGGCGGGCTTGCGCTGGCTCTCAAGCCACAGGAACTGAAGCAGGGCGCTACAACTCATTGGTTGGCAACTCAGGGAAGATGCTGGGGGGAGAGTGGGGGTTAGATGATTGGCTACTGGTCTTGAAGGCGGGACTTCATGGACGCGCTCCACGTTCATTGGTTGGGATGTGGGAGGGTTCCGGAGAGCGCGCACTGAGACTGTGGCCATGGAGGAAACCAGCGGCTTCCGGAAGGTGAGGCCCCCGGGAGTGGTACCAGTTTAGCTTTGGGCATTGCTGATCCCCGCGTGACACTTGTGCAGACTCGAAGTCAGCCTTATCGCTGTGTTCCCGTGTCTTTGGTGGGGGTTCGGCAGCCGGGTGGACCTGGGCAGAGCAGCCCGAGCGCTCTGCGGCTTGGCTGGACAGCGCCGCCCGCAGATCCAGACTGGTGACAAGGAGTCTTCGCAGGAGGGACCACAGGGCCTTTCCCACCCGGCCGATGAGGGTGCGTAGGGCACACTGACGCGAGCCTCCACTGTTTGGGCCAGCGTCATTTCTCAGTGACAAGCAGATATGCAAGGACTCGCCCATCTGCTGGGGGAAACTAAAGCAGAGGTGTTCCGTTCCATGAGTGGTGCGTGAGGTTAGCAGTCGGCTTTTTGTATCAGGCCGGTGCGCGCCCTGTGCGGAGTTCGGGTTCACTCCGCTCAGGACTTGAATAGTTTTGGGGGCTTTGGCCAGATCGGGGTTGCGATCATTCATTGGACTACAGTGACCGGGCTGTCCCAGGAGAGAGTGATAGGAAAGGAGGGACCTGTATCCCAGACTGTGGCCTTCTGGACGAGGAACAGGAGCTTGATGTATCACAGGCTTTTCCCTAATCCTCCCCTCCAGCAGTCACATCCACTCGTTCACTGACTGGCCCGTGGATCTGTAGTGCAGTCCTGTACTGTAGCTTGCTCTCTGACATTCCGCAGCTGGGACCTGTGGAGCCTTTTCTGTTACCTCTCCGGTAGTGTGCAGGGAAAAGACCAGCAGATGGCGCTGTTCTCGCGAAATTATACATGGTCCCTCTGGACAAGTTCACCTGTGCCTTAGACTCATGTCCATTCGCACCTGTGTCCCTCTGCGACGAATGGGTATCATGGCCTCCATGTGACTGATGCTCGTGAATCCAAATTCACCTTCCTCTGTAGGCCACCCACTTCTAGGGTCCTGGGTGTTGCTGCCAACCTATTGCCTTTTTCCAGCCATTCCCCATTCTGTTCTGCACTTGGTAAACTTGAGTGGTCTGCTGGCTTCACAAATTGTAGATTCTCAGGGGTTCTTCGTGTCTCACTTTGGGTGTCCCCACTGAATTCTTAGGTCTGTGGATTCTCACCCTCATCCCCATCTCACATTGCCACCAACCTTTCAGGGTTTCAAACCATCCCTGAAACTTGGCCAATCCGCTGCCACCACCACCACTACTGCTATTGAATCATTACAGCTAGGTCTCGCTAGACCTGGTCAACAGGTGTCTTCATTTACAGCTAGAAATGATTTCCAACTACTTGCCAAAGGAAGCTCAAGGGTTCTCCGCTATCTGTTCAGCTACCCATCCCTCCAGTCACAGTTACTGTGTCTGTCTGTGCAGCAGTAATCCAACCTAGGTAGTGTTGACAGTCAAGGCTGCCCAAGGGGTCAGATTTCCTCAAAGCTGCCACGGCCGATTTTAGGAGCATGTGCCTCCATCCCCCTGGATCTGATAGAGTATACCAGGAATGATGTTCCTGGACTTGTCCCCATCTCTTGTGCTCCCTTGTCCCTATACAAGTCTCTCAAGCCCTTCTTGACAGCCCCTATGACATCCTCCCTCAAAGCACAGCTGGCCTCATCCCCTCAACCTGGTAAGAGGCCCTAGGTTGGCACTGTTTCTAACTGAAAGTTACAGCCATGCTCCATCCAGAACTGATACTTGGGGGACCTGTTGGGAATGGTACTGACTCCCTGCCCTTCCTCCAGGAGCTGGTGAGCAGACTACTGCATCTGCACTTCAGGGATTGCAAGACTAAAGGTTTGGGGCACTAGTGGAGTGGGGAAGAATGTGGGGCCCAGGGAGGAAAGGGAGGCTGTCCCCATAACCCACCCTTTCTCTCCAGTCAGTGGGGATGCACTGCAGCTCATGGCGGAGCTCCTGAGGATCTTCGTAATAGGTGAGCCAAGGGCCCTCACAGCACCAGTAGACAAACTAAGGTTTTTCTCAGCTACTGCCAACCCTAGGTCCTGTCCCTGAAAAACTTACCCAAGAGCCATCTAGGTCCCCTCTGAGGGCTTACAGTAGGTGCAGAGGAGGCCTAACAAGGGCAGGGCTAAAGCTGCCCAGCTTCCCCCAGCTCACTTCAGTGTTTCTCCAGAAGCTGCTGTCCGTGGGGTTTGGCAGGCCCAGGCAGAGAACCTAGATGTTGTGAACGTGGATCAGCTGGAGAAGGTGCTTCCTCAGCTGGTATGTGGGATGCAGGTGGGGCAGCCTGCGACTCTCCAGAGTGGCGCCATGTGATCACTTTGAGCACACCTCTCTTCCATAGCTCCTGGACTTCTAGAAGATTGCACCTGTAACCTGCCAAGTCTCGGATGAATTCACATCAGCACTGACATCTAGTTTCCAAGTTCTCCAGCTTCCAGAGGATGGGAAGATCCCAGCAGCTGTTACCCTTCCCAGCTATTGCCTCTGGGGGTCCTTGTGAGACAGGTGCAGGGAAAGGTGGACCAGCCTGCCCACAGCCACAGCCACCACCACCCCAGCCTTTGACTGTAAACAAACCAGCCACTGGCAGTGCCGCCTTCTTGCCACCTACATCAAAGCTTCTGTGCAGCTTTGTAACCACCTGACCCCCACCCCCAGGATGCCTCCCTGAGCTGTAAATTTGTTCTTACAAAGCAACATCAATAAATCAACACCATCTCTCTGAGGCTTGGCCTTCTTGTTACCATTAATCATCCGAAGTCTAGTTGCTTCAAAGCCTGAGCCCCATGTTCCCTTCCATCCGTCTCAGTAGGACGAAGGCAGAACTCTCAGAAAGGACAGGATAACAAACAGCATGTGTGCACATGCTGCAGTAAAACTGGAGCCTCCACACATGTGGCTGGCTCACTTGGAAAATGTTACTCCTGCCACAGGCCACAGCAACTGCCACTAGTAGGCAGTAGGGTCCAAGGATGTTTCTGTGAATCAGTAACGGTTCACTGGTGGAGGCAGAACCAGGATACTCAAGGTGAGAAGGCTGGAGATCTCTTTTCAGCAGAAAGGGCCCTTAGGCTGTGACCATGTGACCATGCCGAACTGCAGAAAGGCTCTCCTTTAGCCCTGACCTGCCCAATTGCAGTCCGGGTATAGGTAAGGGACAGGCTGTGCCCTCAGAGAGGTGGAGCTGAGTGGCCGCCCTGGAAGCCCAGTCCAGGCTTGAGCCCTCTGATGATCAGGAACTGGCAGGCCAGTTCTCAGGAGACATGCAGGGTATCTTGCTAACCCCTATACATAGTGCCCCCTTAGGTCTTGGGGAGGCACTTAAAAAGGTCCTCTGACTGTCAGTCCAATGTGGGGGACCATGGAGCACCCAAGAGTTAGACACAGTTACCCAGCACTACGGCCCAGAATTGAGAGCCACGTCAGTGGTAGAGGTGGGAGCGGAAGGTCAAGTAGGAAAAGCATGGAGTATGGAGGGACAACAGCTATCCTCACAGGGTCCCGCACAGACGTGAGGGCAACCTCTGAAGGCAATGGTTAGACTGGATGTAGCTGGATGGACGGAGCTGCTCTAAGTGCCTGCAACCCCCACATACACACACAGTAGGTTTCTAGGTCCCAAGCACTGGGGAGCCAGTGGGAGACGGGAGACATTCAGGAAGGAGCTGGTTGGTGGGACACAGAGCTCCAACCAGCTCAAGTAAGTGCTGGAACCGGACCACACTCCCACTGAAGGCATATAGAAAAGGCTATCAGAACACCTCAGGCCAGGCACAGCCAAAGGTAGCTTTGTGGTTAAGTGCCCGCTTCCTCCTCCCTGGTTGTATGCCAGAAGCTTGGAATGACCCCAGGTTGTAGGTAATTTGCCAAGGAGGCTTCCTCCTACATTTCTGTTCATTCAGTAAAGAGGCTAATGAGGTCAGATATAAACGAAGAGGAAGCTGGCCTACCCAGGGTTCTGGCCCTCTCAAGACCTTCACAGATACCTCAGCTTTTTTTAATAGGAACACCCTGTGGTACAGCCAAACTCCCAGGGGTCCACTGGGTAGCAGTGAACAAGACTAAGCTGGATGGAGGCCTAAGGGCCCTTTCTGCAGAAAAGAGAATCAGAGGCCTTGAGAGAAGCGCGAGTCTTTATTCCTGCTCGGGGTGGGTGGGGGTGGGATCCTGTGGCTGATGACGGGCATCTCCAGGCTGGTAGCTCTCACCTCTTGCTGGCTGTGATACAAACACCAGAATGACCACATGCTCCTGGGTTGCTGCCCAGCCACCCTACCCTACCCAGTTAGTCCATGACAGGCAGGCACCTGGCAGCTTCAGCCACTTGGGCACTTTGCCCAGGCTTCTCCTCACAGGCTGGATTGTCCCTTGAACGGGCTCTGGGGGCCCCAGTGCCCCCTCCTCAGTGATTGGCTCAGACTCCAGGGACACAGGGTCAGGGGCTGGCAGCAGAGGTGGGGACCCGGTGGCCCGGGACATACACCTAGGGGTGAGAGGCCAAGGCCAGGTGGTGGGCACAGTCTTGGAGGAGCTCCCAACCCCTCAGGAACTTACCTGGCCACCAGCACATCAGCCGTTGATGGGGAGACGGTGTGCTCTAGAAGTCCAGGTTCCAGGTAGAGACCTTCAGAGGCCAGAGCCCACCCTCAGCCACAGAAGAGACCGACACTCCTCCCACACACTCCAAGTGGGGGCAGTGAGCCTGTGCCCCAGGGAGGTGGGCACTGGGCTGCAGATCCCCCAAGCCCACAGGACCTCTGAGTGAATACCTTCTAAGGAATCTTGCTTTGGGTATCAGGGAACTGGGATTCAGGGTGAGCCCTGTTGGCAGGGGTCAGAAGTGAGGCCTCACTCACCTGTTGGCTCTTCAGCTCCAAAGTGCACAAGGGCCGCAGGGAAGAGGTTTGCCTGCAAGGAAGGCAGGGGGCAGGGAGGGCTCAGAGGCCAGACAGGCAGTGTTCAGCAGGCTCAGGTCTCCCAAAGATGATTCCATCCCTTCCTCTGCCACTCTACCCTCATGGACCACAGGATAGCAAAGCACCAGTTAGGTGCCCCACTTTTCATTTGTGTGAACTATGGTGTCCTCCTTCGTGATCCACTGCCCAGCTGCAGTACCAGTGAATTTTCTGTCAGTCTGGAAGCTCACAGTGCACTTGAGTTTATGGCTCAGGTACACCTTGCTGAGGGGGTCAGAGGAGACACAGGGCTGTTGAGTGAGACTCTGGGTCTACCAGCCTGACACTGTCTAGGAACAAAAGTAGGAGGGAAAGACCTGTGTCACTGCCCCAATAATATACAACTCACGCCACCCCCTACCCCGATTATGCCCCCCAAAATAAGGGTGAGGGACTATGTATGGGCTGGGGCATCTCCACAGTTAGGAATGTACCCAGAACCACTGGGAGACAGGAGTGCCCTAGCAGAACAGGCCCAGGCACGAAGCAAGGGCTGGCTCCCAATATCAGGCTGCTTTAGAGAAGTCAGAAGCTGAAAGATGCTTCCTTGTAAGATACACTGGCCCAGGCAGGGTTGTCACCACTGGACTAAGTAGGAAGCTGGAGCCAGGACCAGCCTAAGCTCCTCCTATCCCACCCAAACAAGGAGAGCTAGTGCTTTGAAAACTCAATTGAGTGCCTGGGATCAAAGCCTCCTTAACCACATCTATCCTAAGGGGGTGGAAGGTATGAGGTTTCTATCCAGGGGACTGGCCCTACTTTCTCGGGCACAGGTGTGGGGTGGGAGCAAGAAGTAGACAGGGTTGCTTCCATTGACACCCTTGGACACAAGGCTCTGAGGCCTCCTTAACAGGGTATGTGACAATACTAGCCCTGAGAGGCCCTAGTATCACACATGAGAATGTTTTCCTCTTTTTCAGCCTCTGTGCCCAACCAGGGGAGAGGGGGGGTTAGGGCTGGGGCTGGCTGACGTGGCCAAAGACTCAGGGCAGCCAGGAGCCTGGCAGGACCTGGGAAGGGGCTGCAGCTGCAGGCTGAGGGCATTCTTTCCATGCGGCTCCAGGCTCCTGTGAGTGCCACAGGCTGGAGGGGTGGGCGGGGTGGGTGGGGTTGGGGGGATGTTAAAAGATTAATAAGAGCAAGCTTCAAAGGCCAGGCCTAGGAACGCTGAAACCTCAGCCTCCAGCCGGCAGCAGAGGGACACAAACAAGGGCGGTGAATGCTTTGAAACGCAATTGTGAGGTCTGCGATCAAAGCACCATGAGAGGAGGCCTGTGGGGTGGGCGGGGGGCTGCCCTAGTGCCCCTGGAAAGGCGCCAGAAGGAAGCCAGGGATCCAAGCAGGGGGCATGGGGAGGACAGTGTTAGAACCTTCCTCAGCCCAGAATGGCTGGCTCTATCTCCCACCAAGGTAGCTCTGCAGGGCCAGGGCTACCTTCTGTACTCACTGCTGCAACTGAGTGGCGTTCCCGGCACACTATGGCCTCACTCTTTCTAACACTTCTGGGATCCTGGCTGGCACACCCACAGGATCTTATCTGTTTTCTGCCACCACAGTCAAGGGGGCTCCCTTGGACGTGACTGAGGAGGCAGCTGCCATGTGGCAGCGCCAAGGCTGGACCCTTACCCGACAGTGCTTAGGAATCTCAACGAGGGCCAGGGAGAACCCAGAACACCAAGAGAGGAAAGGCCAGCTGTGGGCTCTGTCCCCACACTGCCCACACCCAGCCCTAGATGAGGGAAAGGTGAGGGCAGTGGACTTGTTTACATCAAGGCTAATCAGTTTTCAGAGGAGGCTGGGCCTTCACATAAACCCTAGTGGACCTCTCCCTGCAGCTTGGTCCCCTGTGACAGTGTGAACTTCTGTCCTCTCCAGGACCACAGACAGGAACAGCCACCACTTTGGTTCCTAACCAAAAGCAAGGCTGCCACCTTCCTCTTTCTCTCCAGGACCAAAAAATCCTGTAAGAGGGCAAGGCTGCCGCCCCTTGGGGGTTTTGCATTCTCCAGCTGCCTGACCACACACCAGCCATTGCCAGGGTCCAGTCTGTTCAAGGGAGGAAGCAGCAGGAAAGTGGCCTGAACTCCATGATAGGGACAGGGAAATCCCTGGTTGGGGGACTCACTGGTTCCCTCACAGGCTGGGTCTCGGCTGACTCAGCTGGAGGTACAAGGAGTCCTCTGGGCCTTGCTCAGTTCTGTCAGCAGCAGAGTCTAGGGCCTGCCTCACTGCTCGCCTCTTCCTCTTTCTCTTTCTGAACTTGCAGATGGGATACCCTCTAGCCTGGGGCAGGAATTCAGGAGAGCATGGGAGGGAGTCCTCTCCCACAAGGGGGCCCTCTAGGACCCTAGGACCAGCTCCTAGGTGAACTCATCCTCTCTGTTACCCATCAGTGCCTGCCCAAAACAAAAACCCTTGCCCATTTGCTTGGGTTTCTGGGGTCCCAATGGAACAAGGGGCAAGTGGACAGAAGACCATCCCAACCAACAAATGGGATTCCACCCTCTGCTCACTCCACAGCCCCCCATGGGCCACTCTGCCCCACACTGGAACTTAACACTGACCAGGACTCCAACCAAGCTCTAATCCATTCTCTCTATCCCCAGCACACACACACACACACACACACACACACACACACACACACACACACACACACACACACACACACAGAAGCAGTGGGACAGGCCTGATCACCTGACCACAAGTTTCAAGCTACAACCCTCCCCCTAGACTCCCAGGACTACAGAGAGCTTCAGGGAAAGGGATG